ATAAATGATTATAAGTTGAAGGATAATGTGACTCAGAGAAGAGTTATAGAACATACATCTTCACCAATGGTGACAGCCTCAGGATAAACCCCACGAATCATATGATTAACCAGCATCAGATAGACAATAGCATCTACATTAGTTGCTTATCCGAAGTACTCATTGTAGTTTCCAATAAATGCTACCTATAGCAAGTTCAAGAAAACAAAAGTTAAGCCAGGATAATACATTATAAAGATGCAATGACACTAAAAACCTTTAGTCCTCAAGAGAATTTATTAAGAAACAAAACATAGAGAAATGATGCTTCCCCACTTACAAAAACCAAATGTTACATCAGTTCTACTTCTCTATATAACATAAAGTCAAAACTTTGGTAATTAACATCTGAACATGCAAGTAACTTATTATATAACACCAAGCAAAATAGAAAATCTGCAAACTCATTCAGATATTACCTACAACCCATGATAGGTGTACATCATTGAAGTTACAACATCAAATTTGAACCCATCAAACTTGTATTCTTCTAGTCCCATCTTGCATTTGAAAGAAGAAACCTTTGTACCTAAAGCAACAAGTAAAAATTAATATTTACACACAATAGGATGGAAGGAAGCCAAAATCTTTCAACAAGCTATTGTTTAAGAGAAGTTTCAGTAGAAGTACATACTTCCCAGCTTCCAAAATTAAAAAGGCGAGAATCCCACATCCAGTGGTGACCTCTTGACCCCGAGTGGAAGTAATGAGCATCGGTTCCATCTAACACATTATTAGATGCATGGCTGTATTTGTCAAACATCAATCAGATACAAATATTGATGAAAAAATTAATTAATAACTTAAATTAACTAAAGAATAAAAATTAATTGAGACTTATAGCAAAAGATTACTTACTCAAAGTAACAAAGCAAATACTTGAATAAAAATTTGCTATAGCTTAGAAAAGAATTTAACATTAACAACATACAAAAGATAAAAACTTTCATTGTAAACAATATAGTAAGATTCCATTTGGTAGTTGTTTCTGCTACTAGCTTTTTGCTTTCAGAAGCAGCAAGTACATTTGGATAGAAAAGACAATAATACTTTAAAAGAACTAAAAATAAAAAATATAATCTCTTGTAGAACAAAATACTATGATTCATCTTTTAATAGAACAAGTATATTACAAATTCTACTCATTTAATCATATATATTTCAAACAATTATGACTTTGCTTTTTCCCTTTTAGGTTTGTTCTTTAGAAACCTTTTAGGAAGCCAAAAACAATTAGAAAAAACATAGTAAGAGTAAGGACCAATAACAACCTAAATTCTCATGACCATTTTTGCATCAAGTCTATTGGAAGAATGACCATACAATCTACGCAGGAAAAGAAGAAAAAGAATTTATATTTTCATTTTTGGTACGAAAAAGCTGGGAAAAACCATTTGCACAAAAACTGTAACAGCAAATAAAGCTGAAGGGTGTGTTTTTAGAAATGATATTCTCCTGCAAGTCCAATTATTACCAGTGCGCAATATCCATATAAACAAGTAGACCCAACTCGTGAGCCTTATCTATCAATGACTTAAGATTATCAGGGGTTCCAAAACGACTGCTTGGTGCAAAGATGTTTGTCGCATGATACCTGCAACATATTAAATGCAACTTGTTAAAGGTAGAAGAGGTTAGTTTCCATAACCAAAACTAAATTCTGAAGAAATATTTCTGTTTACATCCAAAACATAACATTTTAGTACAAGTTAACAAACATAAACAGCAACAAATAAAGATGAGTTGATATTTTGATGGAGATAATACCCAAATCAAGCATAATATAAGTGCTCTTGAACAGCCATGATTTGAATAGCATTATATCCAACTCTTTTAATGCAAGGAAGCACATCATCTCTAAAGTTGGCATATGTGTTAATTATTGGCTCCTGCATCTCAAAGTTGATAATATTAAGAAAACTAGGAAATGGATTAACCATACCAAAGTGTACCATGGAAGATAAAGACTGAAGGAGTTTGTGGGACAAATTTTCTTTGAATGATAGTATGACGAAAACTAGAGATAAGTTTTGGTTTAATTGCAAATTTAGGCTTCTTAATGGGTTTTAGAAATGGGTAAAGAATCATAATGAAATGCAATCAAACCAACTTCTATGTTATTGATTTGAAACTACTATTTAAGATATTTCTATACACAAAGCAGTTAACAGAGGTCCAAGTCACTAGCTGTTTGGCATTTGCATTATCATTAACTAAAGTAATACTCATTATTTAGTATAATCCAAATGGAAGGACTTCCTTTAACCAAAGAACACGAAAAGTAGGCCGCATGCACCTATGTGGCTTTTTGCTAGCTTAATTTGACAAATTTTCTCTTTAAAAGAGCCCACTCTGCCTATGGGATGCAAGAAAGTTCCGTTTCAAAATTTACAGGCCTTTCCAGATAGCTATACTGTTTGATGCTCTTAAAGATGTTCAATGCAAGTCAAAATGTTTCTTTATCTTCATTTTGTTTTTTTTTTTTTGGGAAGAGGGGAGGTAAAATTGATAGTTTAAATACAGATACTAAGATAAATTTTCCTGTAAAATGTATTGCCTTATAACGCCTCCTACTTCACTTTTCGGTCTCAAAAACCTTGCAAGAACACTTCATAGGAAAGATTGAAAGAAATAGCATAAAAAATATGATCACACACATGATAGCATTTAATGAAGCTTTTTATCAAACTTAAGGTTTCCTCTTTTAAGATTAAATAAATCAAGGAAATGCAATTCAACATAAAGACAGAAAAGTTGAATAACAATTTGCTACATGCAAGGGAAAGGAAGATGCATACCATGCTACCCATTCCAACATGTGATTCATAGACTTAAGTGATTTTGGTCCTTTTGGCTGGGGGTGTTTGTATACATACTTTTCCTGTTATAGTATAAAAATCATTAGTCAGGATAAAGAGTACAAAAATTTGAGATAAGACATATTATAGACTAAACTAAGTTGATTGTGCTGTGCAGTGATTAAACTTGAACAAGCGAGAACACAATTTAGAAACTGACTTCATATATGAAAAAGAACCAATCAAAATTGTTTTCTTAAAAACCTTTAAGGGCATTCATGTTAATATTAACGTTATAAAGGAAGAAGTTCATCAAAACAACCTACTCTAAGAAGAATAAGAAATTCATTATTCGTTTATATATCAATTAATCATATTTGTGTGCAGGCATGCATGCATGCTTTTGTTTATGTATCCTCACACACATGCAGTCATTTTAAAATTATCATAAACATTAGTTGGTATTTCTAATTTTCCCCAAGCTCCAAATGTTTCAGCTACTTATAGTTTGAAAAGAATAAGTTATCTAATCTTTCCAATAAAACCAAAAGATCAAACAGCAATTAATTATACCTCTTCTGGCGGATCATAGTATATTCCGTTGTATGAGATTTCACCTAGTGCTCGAATAGAGAACTTGATCCAAGCAAGAATGGAGTCCTTAATCCTAGATGGAGTTTCCATATGAATCTACAATTATATGGTCAAAAAGTTAAAATGGACACATGGAAAAAGAGGTTTGGATGAATGATAATTGACATGATCATAATAGTCCACCAAAAAATATTTTTTTTTTCCATCTTCACCTTTTCTTTCTTTCTTTCTCCTTCCTTTTAGGATAGGAATTAGTTAGATTTGAACTCAGCTACCTTGAATAATTTTGCTTGACTTAGAGATCGCCCCACTAAATACTTCAATACCTTTATGTCATGAATTCTAGTAATTAATTATTGTGAACGTTGTACTACAACCAATGATTTATTCAAACCATATACACATGCAATAGGATCAGTGTTAAAAAAAAGCATCATACTTAAAGGTTCCTGGTCCACAGATCATGATCAAAAGGTTAAATACCTTGTTGATCTACAGGGAAAGAGTTGCAAGTTTTAATAGTTTCTTTTTACTCTGACTTAAAAAGTGGAAAAAGAAAATAATAAACAATTAGCATTTGAATGTAAGCAGAATCAGTTTCAAGAGCCAAACTTATGTTCATCTATAGGTAAATTTACCTTCACTTGAGAACCACGGGGAGTTGGTGGTGAACCATAAGCATTGTTAGCCAAAATATCTCCTAGACACCAAACTCATTCTGTTAAAAAAACAATTAATATTTGTAGAATTAAACACTAGATGTTATTTAAATATAGAAATAGACAATAGATCACTGCCAGTGTAAATCAAAACAGCTTTCTAAGCACTTAGAACGCAGTCACCTTCCCTTTTATAGTTGAGACCGCATGGCATTAAATATATGAATTAGCTGATACAATTAATTGTTACATAAGCAAGGGACTTTTGCACTTAATTATAAAACTTTGACAACGTTTATCTTCTTAACTTTTCTATTTGGAGCTTTTAAGAATACCAACTGCACCAGACTATACACCCAATCTTTGGTCCATTAAGAAGAATATTCATGCTCACATACATTTAAAAAGATCCATGTTTACATTCAGATTTAACATTAAGCTAAGTGTTTTGACAAACCAAACTTAAATAACTTTTAACTTCTTTTGGCATGTGCATTTAGAAAAGATATAAGCATTGACTTATGAACAGTTGGTATTGCAAATACTACAGTTTCTTAAGGCACACATCTTAGAGCAAAGCAAAGAGAAAAGCAGGGAAGAATTGAATATTATGACAGTGACATTTTAAGATGGTGGAAGTCTACCTTCAAGTATTGTTTCTTTTCCTCTTCAATATTAATAGAACTTAAAGAATGTTATTTTTGTAAATAATATATGAAATTCTGCAACTAAATCACTCCAATATAAAACATTTTATCAATTAAATGTTCCTTACTATGCTAATATTTCTAAAAAGGTAAAACATAAATTACCTTTTATTGTGCTAGTAGCTCTTTAGGTGAATTATTTGCACAAAAGATGAAATATGTGAAAAGCAAGGATATTTTAAGATTTCTAGAGATGCTGTTTGTTCCCTTCAAGTGTTTTTGGAATTTTCATTTTTGGCATCTTTAGTTGCTATGTTTCCATAACTCTTGGTCTACAATAAAAATTAGTTCAATTTACAACAAGCATTTTTAACAATTCTTTAGTTCATTCTACAATATCAAAACACTTAACTACTAGCAGGGTAACCTACTTATTCATGGCATATGGATTCAATTGATGCATGAAGAGAAGTGATGAAGCAGTAGAGAATTAGAAAAACATGTACAATACACATATGTTTGGTAGGCTTACACACACACAAGTACATGTGTGCAAACTTTTTCAAAACAATTTCTACACTTAGCATCCTCATGGATCATGTAAAAAACTATTGAAACCCCATTCCATTTACGCAACCCAGCGCAATAAATGTTGTTATAGAAGAGACAGGGGACTTAGAGCGGACATCATAATTCTGGAACAGATAAATGACTATAAGTCGAAGGATGCTTAATGTGACTCAAAGAAGAGTTATAGAACATACATCTTCACCAATGGTGGCAGCCTCAGGATATAGCCCATGAATCATATGATTAACTAGCATCAGATAGACAGCAGCATCTACATCAGTTGCATATCTACAGTACTCATTGTAGTTTCCGGTAAATGCTACCCACAGCAAGTTCAAGAAAACAAAGGTTAAGCCGGGATAATATATTATAAAGATGCAATGACATTGACACCCTTTGGTCATCAAGAGAATTTAGTTAAAAAACAAACATAGAGAAATGATGCTTCACCACTTATAAGAACCAAAAGTTACATCAGTTCTACTTCTCTATATAACACAAAGTCAAAACTTTGATAATTAACATCTGAACATGCAGGTAACTTATTATATAACACCAAGCAAAATAGAAAATCTGCAAACTTACTCGGATATTACCTGCAACCCTTGATGGGTGTACATCATAGAAGTCACACCATCAAATCTAAACCCATCAAACTTGTACCCTTCCAGCCACCATCTTGCATTTGAAAGAAGAAACCTTAGTACCTAAAGCAACAAGTAAAAATTAATATTTACGCACAATAGGATGGATGGAAGCCAAAATTTTTCAACAAGCTATTGTTTAAGAGAAGTTTCAGTAGAAGTACATACTACCCGCTTCCATAATTAAAAAGGTGAGAATCCCACATCCAATGGTGACCCTTTGACCCCGAGTGGAAGTAACAAGCATCGGTTCCATCAAACATCTTCAATCCATCTAACACATTATTAGATGCATGGCTGTATTCGTCAAACATCAGTCAGATACAAAGATGGATGAGAAAATTAATTAATAACTTAATTTAACTAAAGAGTAAAAATTAACAGAGACTTATAGCAAAAGATTACTTATGCAAAGCAACAAAGAAAATACTTGAATAAAAATTTGCTATAGCTTAGAAATGAATGACTTGCAAAAGATAAAAACTTTCATTGTAAACAATACAGTAAGATTCCATTTGGTAGTTGTTTTTGCTACTAGCTTTTTGACTCCAAAAGCAGAAAGTACATTTGGGCAGAAAAGATAATAATACTTTAAAAGAAATAAAAATAAAAAATATAATCACTTGTAGAACAAAATACTACGATTTCTCATTTAATAGAACAATTATACTACAAATTCTATTGCATTTAACATATATATTTTCAAACAATTATGACTTTGTTTTCTCCCTTTTAGGTTTGTTCTTTAGAAACCTTTTAGGAAGCCAAAAGCAACTAGAAGCAAACATAGTAAGAGTAAGGACCAACAGCAGCCTAAATTCTCATAGCCATATTTGCATCAAGTCTTTAGGAAGAATGACCATACAGTCTAAGCAGGAAACGAAGAAGAAAAAGCGTTTATATTTTCATTTTTGGTATGAAAAAGCTGGGAAAAACCGTTTAAACAAAAACTATAAGAGCAAATAAAGCTGAATGGTGTGTTTCTAGAAATGATATTCTCGTGCAAGTTCAATTAGTAGCTGTGTACAATATCCATAAGAACAAGTAGACCCAACTCGTGAGCCCTATCTATCAGTGACATAAAGATCATCAGAGGTTCCAAAACGGTTGCTTGGTGCAAAGAAGTTTGTCACATGATACCTGCAACATATTAAATGCAACTTGTTAAAAGCAGAAGAGGTTAGTTTCCATAACCAAAACTAAATTCTGAAGAAATATTTCTGTTTACATCCAAAACATAACATTTTAGTACAAATTAACAAACATAAACAGCAACAAATAAAGATGAGCTGATATTTTGGTGGAGATAATACCCAAATTTAGCAAAATATGAGTGTTCTTGAATTGCCATGATTTGAACAGCATTATATCCAAGTCCTTTAATGCGGGGAAGCACATCATCTCTGAAGTTGGGATATGTGTTAATTATTGGCTCCTGCATCTCAGAGTTGATAATATTAAGAAAACTAGGAAATGGATTAACCATACCAAAATTTAGCATGGAAGATAAAGACAGAAGGTGTTTGTGGGACAAATTTTCTTTGAATCACAAGATGATGAAAACTGGAGATAAATTTTTGTTTATTTAGAAATTTAGGCTTCTTAATGGGTTTTAGAAATGGGTGAAGAATCATAATGAAATGCAATCAAACCAACTTCTATGTTATTGATTTGAACCTGTTATTTAAGATATTTTCATACACAAAGCAATTAATATAGATCTAAGTCACTAGCTATTTGGCATTTGCATTATTATTAACTAAAATAATACTCATTATTTAGTATAATCCAAATGGATGGACCTCCTTTAGCCAAAGAACACACAATGTAGGCCATACACACCTACATGACTTTTTACTAGCTTAATTTGACAGATTTTTTCAAGAGAGGCGACCCTACCTACGGGATGCGGGAAAGTTCCATTTCAAAATTTACAGGGCTTTCTAGACAGCTATACTGTTTGATGGTCATAGAGATGACCAACCCATTAAATACTTCAATGCCTTCATGTCATGAATTCTAATAATTAATTATTGTGAAGGTTGTAGTACAAACCAATGATTTATTCAAACCATATACACATGCAATAGGATCAGTGTAAAAAAAAATGCATCATACTTAAAGGTTCCTGGTCCACAGGTCATGATCAAAAGGTTAAATACATTGTTGATCTACAAGGAAAGAGTTGTAAGTTTTTATAGTTTCTTTTTACTCTGACTTAAAAAGTGGAAAAAGGAAATAATAAACAAGTAGCATTTGAATGTAAGCACAATAACTTTCAAGAGCCAAACTTATATGCATCTATAGGTAATTTACCTTCACTTGAGAACCATGGGGAATTGGTGGTGAAATATCAGCATTATTAGGCCAAAAGATCTCCCAGACACCAAACTCATTCTGTTAAAAAACAATTAATATTTGTAGTATTAAACACTAGATGTTATTTAAATATAGAAATAGACAATAAATCACTGCCAATGTAAATCAACACACATGTTTACATTCAGATTCAACATTAAGCTAAGTGCTTTTGTGGGAAAACACTTATTTACAGCTGGTTGTAATCTTGTAATCTGCATATTTATATTTGTATCTCTAGAATTAAGTATTTGTATCCCTAGAATTAAGGAAGATTTAGTTTCCTAGTTTAACCCCTAGTTAGTTGTATATAAACCTAAGATTCTTGTATAATTGGAGATAAGCAGTTTTTCAATATACATTCAGTTTCCACATGCTATTAGAGCTTTAGGCTCTTCTTGGGAAGAAAAATTTTCAGCCTTCATTGCCGAAACCTGTTTAAGCCTTCATTGCCATTTTATTTTTCCCTTCTTTAGCCTTTATTGCTAAGAGTCATTTCTAGTTATATCTTAAGACTTGTTTCAGTTTAGAAAAAGATATCACTACCACCCAATTTGACGAAGTGTTAATTGGAAAATCATCGAAGTATTACAAATGTCTTGAAAACAAAGAGAGTTGGACAGAAAAGAGATTCAAAAGCTGAGAAACATATTGAAAACCCTTGAAAAGCCTACTGTGGTATGTTCATTGGGTAAGGTTTCTAGTTCAGGTAAAGCTTCTGGTTCTCACGAATTAAATGTCTTAGTTAAGCTTATTACGAGTTCTTGGGTCTTTGACTTAGGAGCCACAGACCATATGACACATTCTTCAGAGAAGTTTAGTACATATATCCTATGTCTTAGTAGTATGAAAATTGTTGTTGCATATGGTTCACTTACTATAGTGGCAGGATTAGGAGATGTTCAAATTAATCTCTCATTTGTTCTTAAAAATGTTTATGTTCTCAGATTGTCTATTAATCTGATATCTATACAAAAATTTACCAGATATATGAACTGCAAAATGACTTTTTATCCCTCCTATTGTAAATTTCAGGACCAGAGTTCAAGGAAAAGGATTGAACTTGCTAAGGAGAAGGATGGACTATACTATCTTGACACATCAAATAAAACAAGTAATATCAAGAATAGTTTACCTTTGTTATTTCTTTCTGAAAAATCTTCCAATAAAGATAAAATCTGGCTTTATCATTTTTGTTTTAGACATCCTTCTTTTGGAACTTTGAGAAACATGTTTCCTTCTTTGTTCAAAGGATTAAACATTGAAGATTTTCATTGTGATGTTCCTGAACTTGCAAAGCACAAACATGTCTTTTCCAATTAGTAACAAAAAAGTTGTACTTCCTTTTACTTGATTCATAGTGACATTTGGGTCCCACTATAATCCCTTATATTTATGATGCAAAATGGCTTGTTTCATTCATAGATGATTGTGCCAGGGTCTCTTGGGTTTTTTTTTACTTAAATCCAAATCAGATGTGAATTGTGTGCTTTTAAGCTTTCAAAACCTGATCCAAAATCAATTTGGAGTGAGAATCAAGACATTTAGGTCTGATAATGCAAGAGACTTTCAACCAGGGTCTATCCACCTATTTCCAAAAGGAAGGGATTATCCATAACTCATCTTGTGTTAATACTCCATAGCAGAATGGATTGACAGAAAAGAAAAACAACCATTTACTAGCCACAAGCTGAGCCTTCTTTTTTCAAGCAACTGCACCCAAATCTTAATGGGGGGAAGCTATTTTCACTACCACACATATTATAAAATAAATTGCCTTCAAGGGTTCTGGGATTTAAAACTCTTATGGAACTACTCTCACAATTCTATCCCAACCTTAATACTACAAACAACCTTACACCTAGGATATTAGGCTGTACATCTTTTGTTCATGTTCACAATCATAATAAGGGAAAGTTGGATCCAAGAAAGATTAAGTGTATATTTGTGGGGTATTCATCAACTTAGAAAGGGTATAAGTGCTATCATCCTCCTACCAAAAAATTCTGTGTCTACAAATGTCACTTTTGAAAAAAGTAAACCATTTTTTACTCAACTTTATCTTTAAGGGGAAACTTCATTCATGGAAGATAAGGATAAAAACTTTTTTGCTTGATTTTCCTCTTCTTCAACATTTTTACCCATTAATTCTTCTAAGTTGAAACCCGTTTTTGTTGAGACTAAGTCAAACACTGAATTTGAGTTTAAACCCATTCCAAACACAAAAGATGTGACAAAGGATAATATTGTTCTTGATTCTATGAAGGAATTACAGGTGTACTCAAGATGAAAAGTTTCAGATCCTAAACCAATGCCGGTCCAAGAACCTGATCCTAACTCTAGAAATGCAGTAACTATAGTTTTGACTCTGTTTCTCAAAA